GGATCGGTATTCCAGAGGTCCACGGTTCGATTCCCGGCGAAGGCGTTTGCTCATTTTTTCATCTCTCCGGCTTTTCCAATTAACCTAATGTCTCTACAGTGCGCCCGAACTAAAAGAGTTGTGGATGATGATTCTCAACACCCAAGATTTGGCGACTAGGTCCCCTAAAACCCTAGTCGCCCTTTAGGAAGAGGATTATATAAAGTATTTCTCCCAGTTTCCTAGCGTGCCTTCTTGGTGTAGTGGTTCTGTACACTGGACCGGTATTCCAGAGGTCCGCGGTTCGATTCCAGGCGAAGGCGTTTGCTCATTTTTCATCTCTCCGGTTTTTTCAATTAACCTAATGTCTCTACAATATTCATTAAAAATTATAAGATACAGAAAAACATAAAGCACCAAATACAGTTAAAAAAACAATTTTTGCAATTAAAATTAGAGCTTCTACGCAAAAACAAGCAATTAGGCCAGCGGGGAGGAAGGCAGATTTTTAATTCGGCCAGCAGGGAGGAAGGCAGCAAAATTGAAAATTTACTTTTGGTCCCAATCGGCAAAATGACACTGAAGCTGGTGCACAACTAACTTAATTCATTCTTCACTCTGAGTTTCAAATCTAAACAAATGGTGGCCTCGTTGTTAGTAACACTTGAACAATTTTTAAATTGTTGATAATTCTACAACTATTGCATGCAGATTAACTAAAGGCATAAAAACCTTAACCGGAACATAAGGACAACACAATTCAATCACTTTTAAAGTAAAAAATTCACAATTTATCAGTATATATGACTTAAACAGCAGAGTAACAGTGTGTGTGTGTGTGTGTGTGTGTATTTTATAATTTACTGTAAATTCTCTTTTCCGGTTCCTCACCAGAAATGTATATATATATATATATTGGTTTGGTGTGGCTAAATTGCAATAGAAAGGGAGGTGCATATCTACAAAGTCTTGGTAAGGTTTTTAAAATAACCTTTTGATTAAAACAGAACCTGATCATAAATGCTCGTGCTTGACAAGATCAACGATCACTTGCGGTTTTTCATTTTAGTTTAAGTTAAAATTAAATTAATATTTTAAATTTAGTTTAAATGTGAGCTGTCTCAGAATTTAGTTAAAATCTATGGTTAGTTTAAATCTATTCCCAATTTAGATTAAATCTGTGCTGGCTCAGAACTTCTCAATGGCGTAACAATTTAAATGACGACAACTATACTGCAAACCGAATAATTAGAACCTTATCAGGTCTACAAAAACTAAGCAACATGGCCTCGACAGGTAGGAAACTCTTACAATCTGAAAAACGCAGCTTAAATACTCTATGCCTTATTTACATTTCTGGTGAGGAACCGGAAAAGAGAATTTACAGTAAAGGACGAAATTATACATAAATGGTTAATGCAAAATAATAGTAACTATAGAACTATTCCTTTTGGATACTTTTATCTATACAATAAAAGTCTGAATTACAAAATAACGATGCAACTTTCTTGCATGAGTTATTATATATCATTTCCAAATATTGGTGACAGTAGGTTTATTTAATTAAGGAAAGTAGAGAGTCCTCTTAACTTTAATTCTATTTCTAATCGAAAAGCCTCGCAGGTGTGACATCCTAAAATCTGTTGCTTTTGCACGAACCCTTATATAGTTATAACTTATATAATTTATAGAGGGATTTTCAGTTTTGCATTTCATAAAGACATTATATTCTGAAATGTGCATATCTATCCGATGAACCATTCTAAAGCGAACATATTAATCCCAAAATATATGTAAGTGTAATTAAACTTCTTTTGATGATCGTCTTCCTAGGGCCGGTATGACACATCCGTTTATTTCAGACGAACAATTGTTTCAAATAATTTTTCTTCCTGCTTTACCACTAAAAGAAAGACGAACGATTTTTTCCTTCCTTTAGCAAAGATTTGTAAGTTATTCGTTTTCAACAACTAGTCAGCTGTCGGCATCGAATCGCCCTTCATCAACCATCATTCGTTACGGAGAACTATTTCCCCCTTCACATGGTAACCCCAAAACGATATGCGGTGATTGACTGTTTCATATCGTGGGACACGCAGAAAAATTGTTCTAAAGAGGCGTTCTCCTGAAGTGTTTTGAATGTATGATACGACACTAAGATAATAACCGGCGAGAGTCAGAGTCGTAGCTAGGGTTTTCAGCGCCCAGGGACAACGGAAGATTTCGCGCCCCCTACTGCTTGCCAAGGATGGAAAACATTTAATTCTAAAATGTCGTAGCATCAGTTTGGCGCCCCTTGGATTCTGCGCCCGGGGACAGATGCCCCCCTTGCCCCCCTCTAGCTACGCCCCTGGTCGTAGCTAGGGTTTTCAGCGCCCAGGGACAACTGGAAATTTCGCGTCCCCTACTGCTTGCCAAGGATGGAAAACATTTAATTCTAAAATGTCGTAACATCAGTTTGGCGCCCCTTGGATTCTGCGCCCGAGGACAGATGCCCCCCTCTAGTTACGCCCCTGGCGAGAGTGGTCAGCATTTTTGGGAACATTACTAAGAATCGATATTAAAACTCATCTTTCAAGATAACCATCCTCATGGAAAACCAAAAGTTCTTGAACTGTGGGTAGAAAACTTAGAGAATGCTTGTGTTCTTTAAATTTGTGGCAGGTCTAATATGTTGTGATTGTCCCACAAAATTAACGGGAGTTAGGCGTTCAAAGAATAAAGGTAAATATGTAATTGTATGTGGAAGTGTGGCTAAGTATGATAAAAATTAAGTTTTTAAAAAAGTAGTTATTAATTTTTGCAAACAGTTCACTAGAAATATGTCATAAATATGCATTTTGGTCACTTAGATCAGCATTTCTTAAACTTTGGCCTGTAGATCACAAGGAGTCCTGGAAGCTTGCTTTTGTAGTCCTCATTGATTCACAAAAAGACAAGAAATAAAATTCAAATTAACTAGGAATTCTATACTAGAGCTAAAAATCTGAGTTTGGAAATTACATAGAGCGATAGTCTACCACATTTTTCTTCCAAGACTGACATTTTATAAAAGCTATTACCAATTAACTTAGCAGCGGTCCTCTCATTCTTATCTTAGCAAGAAAAGAGGGATTTAAAATACTATGGCAATGATGCTCCTTTACCAGCCTACATCCAAAAATAGAACAAGAAACAGCAATGCGAGGATCGGAAGGCTCATCCATTTCCTTAATGCGAGGATTACTATTTATTTAATTTTTAGTTAATTCTACAAACTCTAATAATCTTAAATTACTGAAACCAACTATAAATTTTATTCCATTAAGGTAATTAATTAATACCAATGTAAAATGAAATGAATTTTAATTAACTATATTTTTAAAATATACGTATATACTGCTAGTACCATATGCTAAAATATTGCTTCCGGAGGAGAAGTAAAGTAGTTTGCAGAACATTTAAATTTATAAAAGCGGTCTTCACTTGAAAAAAGTTAGAGAAACGCTGACTTAGATCATATCTAGATACGAAGCAAAGAAGTTAATGTTTAAAAACGATTTTTAGCTTCGAAAACTGCAAATGGAAATTTATTCGAACGACTTTACAATGTCCACAGTGTTGCTTATCATTCATAAATTTCGAATAATGTTTTATATAAGATAATAACTTTTCATAGGATACAATCCATTTGTTTCGTTACCCGAAACAACTGACTCAAAAGGTTTCGGATCAGGGTCGTTCCTAGCGGGGATACAGTGCTTAAAAGTAAGCGGGCGGCCAAATTCAGGGGTGGCCGGACTCTCGTGATAACACGCCTAAATATTTTAAATTAAATTCATTGTAAGTATTTGTCATATGTAAGTACTTATTATTTCGAAGCAGGAAAGATGACAAATGAACAATGTCCTCGTCGGGACTCGAACTACGGACCTCTCAAAAAGGGCGAGTGGGGATTAGGGAACACATTCGCCAAATCCTGGTGGTGGAGAATCATCATCCACCACCTGTTTAGTTCGGGCACCACTGTAGAGATATTAGATTATTTCGAACCAGGAAAGATGAAAAATGAGCAATGCTCTCGCCGGCACTCGAACCACGGACCTCTCGAATACGCGCCAAGTGTGCTGAACACTACACCACGAAGTCATGCTAAGAAGGCGGGAGAAATACCTTATTAATCATTGAGCACTTTTCGTTTTTTTAAATTTGGGGGTGGCAATCTCAGGAAAGTGCGCGGGCAGCCAGTGGCCTAGGAACGGCTCTGTTTTGGGTGGCAAATTTGTTACTCAATTAAAAGCAAGCATATACTGCAAAACTTCGAACTATTTTTCACTATTACTATTTATTAATAATAATTTTTTATTAGAATTATACTGACAAATAGGCCAACAAAACACAAAACAGCTATTTGGCTGATTTTATTCTCAGTATAAAGAAATGTGATTTCGACATTATCCTCCACCAAGCACCAAAATTTTTTATAAAATGGAACATAAATTTGAAATAAACTTAGATCGACATAGAGATTGAAACGGGTGATTACATTTAAACGTAATCTGGATTTTTATTGTGTAACAATTCGAATTTTATTTAATAACATAATTCAGGTGTATAAAATTAATGCAATTTTTATATAAATTTCAAATATCCTTGAAAAGTATTATAATGCCCAGTTTCAGCTTAAAGAAAGGAAAAATGTTTTTCCCAAAATTTTTTATCAAGCACTTCAGAAAGAAATATTGAGAAATAATAATGCAATTGTTACTTTCGTATATTTTCATTAAAAAAACTTTCTGGCATGCCTGGGCATCAACAAGAAAGCTCGTTATTTCATAATTTCTAGTTGAACAAATAGATAAACTTGTTTGTTTCTTTCCGAGAGTTAAGCGAAGCTGAGGGGGCTTGCATTTGAAGTGCTTCTGTTTTATCTCAAAATTCTTGCAAGGTAAAACGAAGGCCCGCCGTATATTTGTTCTTATCTACTATTTGTCTCGTTTAAGGAAAATTTAGACACTGAGAGTAAACTGATACTACAAAGAGCTTTCCGCCACTACGGACGCATGCGCATTGTTCTTAACGAATAGTCTTAATCTTCCGCTCTCAGAGCAGTTGCCTTTTCGATCTCTTCTAATTTTCATAAATTCCACCTACCTCTAATTTACAACATGTTCTTCATTATTTCTAAAAAATTCTTGTTATTGCTATCATTATGGACTGGAATATTTTGCAATTATGCATGTTATTCAATAATTGCGCCTTTCTTCCCACAGTTGGTAAGTTTATTTATTTCTCTCTGTTTACTTGTATATATATATATTTAAATGTTAAAAAAATACTGAACATAGACTAAGAAATTGAAAAAAATTTGAATTCTGTGACTTAGGATTAAAAATTATCATCGCTTCTTTCAATATATCATTATTAAGAAAACCATTTTATTAATAATATTTCATAGGCCTGTTAGTACTTCAGAATTTATAAAATTTGCAATTTCGTAAATTTTGCATTAATTCAACAATACATACAGAGTGAGCAGCTAAATTTAGATTAAACCTAATAAAGGAGGATGACATTGATTTACATAAGAATAAATAATAAAATATTTTCCTTAATATACCAATACACACGATTTTACTCTGGTATTTCATGACTTAGTTTACATTTACAAAAGAGAATTTTAAAAGTATTAATCATTCCCAATTGTTCTGATTATAAAGCGCTCCATACTTTCAATGTAATATATTCATATTTAATTTCAAATAATAAGTATACAGATGCTAGACGATTCTTTTATTCTTTGATGCCGATTTGTTTTATTTCTTTGATGCCGATTTGCATTTTATTTACAGAAATATTTTACCTAAAATTTTTGTGTTTTAAATGTTCTGTTTGATAATCCTTATTCTTCACTATCTTTCTACACCGTTATTTCCAAGACAATAAAAACAAAGCCTTTTGTAGTATCAGAAGAGGTATTTTATCCCATTCTTGTTGAAAAGCTTTCCAAAGTCCAACAAAGGTTGTAAGTCGACATTTGAACAATCCGCTTTTTAAAAGTCCAAAACCGCAAAAATACATTGGTGGTATATCAGGAGATTTAGTTGGGATATTACTGAAGGGAATGGCCTTGATACATGTTTCTTGTTCCATTCCCACCAGGAAATTATGAATGGATTTTGACGTGTAGCTGCTCGACTTGTCTTGATGCAGTTCTACTGATTGATGGCACTATGGGGGTAAAGAGAAGATATTTCATATCTGAAAAGTGGATATAAAATACGTCTCTGAAACTATGTGGAGTTGATCTTAACAATTTTCTCCAATCTCTTTATTTTTAATTTGGTATTATATGAAAAACAAGCAACAATCATAAATCTCTTTCAAAATATTTTAGATTTTTTGAACCCTGTCTCAAGATTTTTTTTTTCCTCTTTGATGATAATAAATAGATCTCGTTTTATTGCAGTCATTTAAATACACGCAAGTTTCGTCCACTGTGACAACATTTTACCGTTTTTGTCTGGATAAATGTTTCTCATAAAGAATTCTGCAGCACGTTCTACTTTCGGCAATATATCGTGAAGAAAGAGGATACCCATTATATTTTTTCGTCTTTTTAAGATTCAAATCAGCGTTAATCACTTTGTTTACACTTGACACTTAGCATTTTAATAATTTTGAAGCTGCACTTTGACTTGGCGTATTTTATATTAAGATTAAAGATCTTACCTATGCAACATTCCAAAGAATCCATTTTTTCCTTGGATATGTATTTCGAACAATTTTTTCTCTTCAGGTCAAACTCTGACATTTGTTTCCTTTCTTCTTGACAATGTTACCTACCGTAGCTTTAGATATCAGAAAACTATGCCTTTTACAGAGTTTTTTTAACAACTGGATACTAAGAATAATTTTCTTCTTTAAAAACGCCATTTTGCATGAAAACAAAACTGTCAGTTAGCAGACAATAATTTATACTTTCAAAAATATAGTTGCATTTAAAAAAAAGTTTCCAAGCAGACGATTTTCTTTTATCGCAAAACAAAATCGTCTTTAAAAAATAAACGTGCAGCTTCTGTATACTTTTGCATTCCATTTTGAAACGCCACTACATTACTTCATTTTAATTTCTATATCAAATTAATTTTTTGTCTATAAATAACAAAAAGTAAAATTAGTATAAAAGAGCTTATTAAAGAAATTAGTAATTCTAACAATTTTAGTGAAAACATGCGCTTGTCAATGTTTAATTTTATATAGAGCGCACTGAAATCTCAAATGAGATTCCGACGTGAATTTCCACTTCTTTACAGTGAGCAATATATCAGGCATTTCTATATTACGAAATTAACCACAATATTAACAACAAATTCTATTATTTCGTTTCATATTTGTTTTAGCTTTACTAAGAGTGTTGCTGACGTTAGTTACAAAATTTGTGCTTCAATTTCTTTGCGATGAATAAAAAACTCATTACAGTATTAAAAAAATTGAATGTAAATAACAAATATTCTATTTCACGAATTTTTATAAAATCTTCATATGATCTAAGCGATAGATACAACATCAATCTATTGAAATTAAACAATTTTATTTGAAGTTCTGTTATCAAAATTTAACTGGTGTAGTAACATACGCATATTAATTTCTAATTTAACAGTTCAAATTTCTTTGAAGAAAACATTACTATTGATTCATTGTTTGAGCTATATTTACTCTAATATACTAGTTATTGATATGTAAATAAAGATATCTTAGAAAATATGATTGTCTTTGGCATTCGCAGACTATTGCCTAAGTGGTTCCAGATAATCTTAAAAAATAGGATTTTTTAAATCAAAATAAACAAAAAGAATTCAAATTTTTGATTTTAAGTTGTTATGCTTATTCGCTAGTAAGATAATATTACTAACGATATCCTATGACAACATTTACTGTTTGGTAAAGGGCGAGAAACCAGTTTTACAATAGTACCGGAGTAAAGCCATTTTGCTTCATGTAAACTAATCAATAAATCAAATAAATCAAAGGAAAAATAACTGAATCAAAGGAAAGGTGAAATTTCAATTTAAATTCAAAGTTTTTTTTATGTAATTTAATTAATAATGATTTTTATTAATATTAATTAATTCATAAAAAGTACAATCACATGCCATTGTTGATGAATGAACAAAAACATGTGTTATGAAAGCTTAGGTTATTTAATTAAGGTTTGGTTTGGTTTATTAGATTATGGCAAAGCACTCGAGGGCTATCTGCCTTAAGGGAGGGATGCCTTTGTGGATGACTTTTTAAGGGAAACTGGCTCGTATACACGTTACACATGAGAAAAACTACGAAAACACCCATGCAGCCAGCCCGTTCGCGGGATGCGAGCCTCAGACCGAACTACCAGTGTTCAGCGACGTTACCGCTCGGCCGCTGGTGGGCTTATTTAATTAAGAAAAAACACGCAAAAGCTGTTTGCTTAACGGCAAGGATGTTTTCACAGGGAGACACTACGTTTGGTGCGGCCGATTGCAACCAAAATACGAGGTGCGCATCTACATGTTATAGCATTCCTATATACAAAAGTTCAACGTACTGAGGCTACTCATTTTTGAGCTATGCGAGATACGTACTTACGAACGTACATACGTTCGTACAGACGCCACGAAAAATTCTTTTCAGAATTCAATTTAAAGCAGTTTTATAATTTTTTTGGAGGAAGAGAGTCTTTTATTCTATCCTTACGTACAGATATCACGCAAAAACATCGTTAAATTGCATTCGATAGCGGTAAAAATGGATATTTTCGTTGAAAAATGCTGCCTGAAATTTTCGCTATTACAATACTTCTTTTTTACTTCGTACAAGGAAGTAAAAATGCTGTGAAATGCGTGGTACAAGTAGATAGCAAAATAAGCAACATTTTTAAACGGAAAGGTAAAACCATCAATTATTACTTCTACATGGAATGAAGACTCTAAGCAAATACCCAAAAAGGTACGTGCTGTTTCTAATGTTAGTAAAGTTTTCGTTAAATCGTTGATAATAAAAGAAAAATCTGATAATGGAGTCTTTAAAATCTGACAATTACAAAGTCTTTAAATACGTCTGTAGCAACGATGAATAAAATAATAAACTAAGTTTTATAACTTAAAAAAGTTAGAAAACTTACGTTCTCCAAGTTTTGCCAAGGCAAGCGACTCGACGCAGAACAATTTGTAGAACCTTGCATGAAAATTATTTAGCAGGAGATAAATGGAAATACATTGTGACCCTAGACGAAGCATGTGATTACCTAAATGACTGCCCCTCCCCCAAAAAAGTAAGAAGTCTATTTATCATCGCAACGAAGAGGGGGGGGGATGGTACAAACTTCGTTCCGTCAATACAAACATACTTTTAGTAAGGGGCTTATGAAAGTGGAAAAAGAATCGAAGAAAGAGTGGAAAAAATATTTTAACGTCAACTCAATATGTTAGCAGTAGAAACTTTTACGTCCGACATTAACAGAAGAAATTATATTTCTTCTGTATTTCTTCTCAACGTATTCCTGCGATGTCCTCTGACGTTTCATTTATGGGATATTGTGGCTTAAGAGCTATGAGAACCCAACACGATTAATGGACTCTCAAAAGTAGTGAAAGAAGAATGGAAATCAGTATCCCTGGAAACTTTCTGAAAAGACCTTTTATCATAGAAATTACAATGTAGAATTATTATCCAGAGAAAAGGCTATCAAATCGAATGTTTAAAAAATACTTTTTCCATTTTAAACATTAATTAAACGGTCCCGAAATCATTCTAAAAATGTATAAACACTCTCTATAACAAGATAACGATCCTAAACATGAAGTCATAAATGTGCGATTGCGATTATTATACTGTCTTGAAGTTACCAAATCTCATCTATATTCTCTGCACATAAAATCAGATAAAAGATGTTTGGAGTAAGTTGAAGAAAAGAATGATGAAGTATGATATTTCTTCGAAACCTCTAAAGAAATTTTTGCGGGGTAATGGAACAAATAAAACATTCTTACACCAAAAAATTAATTGAATACATGGAATTAGTTTAGTTATGAATGGTTAGATACATTAATTCAGGCAAAACACACAAGGGCTGTTTGCTTAGCGGATATCCATAGAAATAATAAATGTTAGATTTTTGTTAATTTTTAATTAAATAGAATTGTCTGTTCAAAGTCTCCGAATACTTATGCGAGTTCATTTTCATAATTTATTTATTTATTAGAACAACATTTTTCAAAACAAGTAGACTTAAGAAAATAATTATGTAACACAAAATGAAATCAGTTCATAAAGTATTTTCTCCCTCCTAGCAGAATGCCTTCGTGGTGTAATTGGTAGCACACTCGGCGCGTATTCGAGAGGTCCAGGTTCGAGCCCCGGATAAGGCATTGCACATTTTTCACATCTCCTGCTTCAAAATAACCTAATGACTACAGTTGCAACCGAACAAAAAAGGTGGTGGGGTATGATTTGTCCCCACGACCTTGGATTTGACGATGTATAACGTAAATATGAAACAGTTTTCCTTAGAAAGATCCTAAAAGAAGGATTTATTGTCTTAAACAGATAACCTCTGTGTTCTTGGCCATATTCAAATAACCTAACGTAACCTAAAGTATCGGCTGCAGCAAAAATATCTATAATTAAATTTTAAAATTTTGGGGAAATTTATGAATTGTAATCACTTATGCATTTCTTTTCGTGCTTTTTAATAACATTTTAATAATTTTCTGTTTATACCAATATACACAGAAAGAAAAATGCAGAAACATGCGCTCGTTCTTTTAAACCTGAAATACTCTTTAAATTAAGTTTTAATTTCATTTAAGAGTAAAGCTTTATTTTTATCTTATGATAGGAGATGGCACTATTTTTATCTAAAGAATGAAGTGAAATGCTTGCATTATTTACCTCACTGGTCTGTTTTTCATCGAAGCTCGGTTCACAGAATTCGAAATTCTTTCAATTTCTGTTTAGTTTATATATCTGAATGAATGTCTTAGTAAGCTGTTCTCAATGTAAAGGGAAAAAACGACTACCCACCCCCCGTAGTTTACACGTTACTTACATATTTGTTGCTATCAAAAGGATACAATTTTCTTCGTCAAGTCGCTTTTTCGGTGCGCAAAGATATTAGATTGGGTTAATAGTCACAGTAGAACCTGATTGCCAATCACGTTGTAAATTCTTTCTATATTTGACCTCAGTATTAAAGCAGCTAGGTAATTATTTATTATCGTGTAGCCATTCTCACACAGATTATTTATTTTAGGCAAGGAAGAAAGGACTCAGCGCAGAACAGTATTCTTTTGTATTTGGTATCTATAGTTTATCTCAAATCACCTTCAGTGTCATAGTTGGCAAAAGCGTAAGTATTTCAAAACATTTTCTCTTCCTATATTTATATATACAAGCTAAACTTCATAAACATGAAGTTTTCTTGATTTGCTTTTGATGAATGTCTCATTACTGCTTAGGTCTACATGACCTGGGCTTAGGGTCTAAGGTTTTTAAAAGGTATTAAAATCCTCCTGCAATTTCTGATTATCTAGCTTTTCTTTTATAAAAGCAAAGCAAACGTGTATTAGGGGTCTTCAAAATGAATGATGTGCTTATGGTGCCGTGTTTTATTAATCAGAACCAGACTAAGGTAGTTTTGAGCCCAAGCAGTGGAAAAGTATTTGCTCATTTTTCATGTTATTTCTAGAAACGAATTAAACATTTGGCGAAATCCAATTACTTATTATTACTATTGTTAAAAATATTCCGAAACAACAACAAAAATCATACGTGGGCTTCGCCCCTGATTGTAACTGATGCATACTGTAGCGTGCGTACGGGTTTGTAATGGATTTAATGCACATAGAACCGATGATAGCTTGATAAAATTTACTTTATCGAAAGAAACACTTTACATTTTTAGAAATTTCCACAATAATGCTCGTTATTTCTTTTCATTATCACAGAGCACAATCAGTAGTTACACTTCAAATTACTACGGAAGTTAAACACAATGCAATGCAAGTGGCAACTAAAAAGGCGAAGCTGTTACGAATATCTCAATACTCTATAGTCAACTCTGAACTAACAACTGAGATGCTAATGCTGTTCCCGATCTTATACAGTTTTCGCCCGGCCGCTGAGAAATCTCTAGTACCTTCCACTTCTCGAAATTACTGGAAGGAATAGGAAGCGGATAAGGTTACAGTTACATATAGGGGTCAATTACATTTATTCCATTAAAATAACAATTATAGTTATAAAGGGAACGGACCAAAATGTCGCCAAATTTGGGGACAAAAATTAGTCGCCAACATCATCGTCAGGTTGGGGATATCTCGCTAATTTAGCCAGACAGCCATTTTCCTGGAGGTTAAATAGATTTGCTTCTTTAATCTTATTTTTACGGCAGAATTTCATCTGATTCAAACATTTCATGTTAAATTATACAGGAAATACTACAATTTCACATATAATTTCACTAAAATTATTTACATTTGCAAAAATTCGTGACAGTAGAGGAGGAAAATAAATATATACAAATATAAATTTTGAGTTCAATAATCACGTTTTTATTTAAAATAATAGACTGTTATGTTTAATAAAAACATGATAGCTGAATATCAAAATACCAAGAAGTAGTATATGCTATTAAATTTTCAGAAAATCTTATCAAAAACTATGTTTTAATGTGGGCGGAATCTTCTGGCTAAAGTTTCAAAAATTTAAATCTATACTGACATAAAATACATTTTGACAATGCTGTTTTCAGTTGCTAAGAGTGCAAAAAAATTAAAACTATTGTCTGATATGCTAGACCTTCGCTGTTAGCAGCTGTCACTGACAGCAGAATCAGAATTTTCAGCGCAATATAAATTTAATATCTTTCCTATAGTTCATTTATGTCAGCAAACTACTTCGACAGGAGTATTTATATTTTCAGAAATCAGATTTTAAGGGATAGAGTTTAATCAAATAAAACTCTGTTATTAATACTACGTAAATAACGTTTGCTTCGAAAAATATATTCGAAACTTAAATAATACATATTGCGTGCGTTTGTACCTGGTATTTTTTAATTAAACAAAAATCTTCATGTTTTAAGGTTATGGATTTGATTAAACCAGAGTTCAACAAAAGCAGATTACACATAATTTTTTTATGGTCTTGGTTTTCAGATATATTCTTATTGATTTCCTGATAATGTATTTATCGAATTTATAAATAACCGCCTCCCTCAGACTATACTTTCAGAAGTAAAACAAACTTCAATTATTTAAGTTCAAGTGACCTTTTTCTTCGTATTAACAAAAGATCTTAACTAATTTACAGTATTTACTTTCATGCGTTTATCTACTTATACGTAATAACAACTTATAATATTTTCTATGGCAAAATCTTAAGCCATTTGGAATTTAAAAAGAACAGCAAGAAAGAATGCGTATGAAATCTTTATTAATGTTACGGATCTTGTATTTATTTAGCTATTTTTAGTAGAACTAATTAAAATTGTTTTATATCCCCGTGTAATGCAGCACGAGACTTATTTAAAGAGAAAGCTACACAGTAAAAGTTAAAATAGAGGAGTACGCGCATTTAATAAATAGATATCTCGTAATTGCTTTTTGCTTTCCAGAAAACTCAAGAAATAAAAATTACCATAATATTCTCGGGCATGATTTAAGAAGCTTATAAAGCTGGAGGAAAGCATCTGAATTCAGTTGTTTAGAAAACTGTTGTTGTTTACTGTAGCGAATTCGCGGTGAAATGGGATCAGCTTTCTCTGTTTTGAATTGTGTTCTGCAAAACGTTTAAGTAGTTTAAAATATAACTACTGTGAGAGATTGCGATATTGTACGTTTATCTCGGAGGAAATTTAAGCATTTTGTATTTATTCTTGGGATAAGAATAAATTTTATTGACTTTTCATCGCACTTGTGCATTCAATTCATTACGAAACCGTACTCACGCAACATTATTAAGTAATAAAGAATTTATATGGGTACTTTCTCGTTAAAGTGATCACCGCAAACGTTTCGGCAAAATTTTCGACTTAAATTAATTTGGCGAAAACTAGAGAAAATTATGGCAACCTTTAAAAAATGAAAACCGCAATATATAGGAAAAAATAACATTTATTTATCCTTGTAGAGGTCATAATTCGGCAGGTGCTACTATTATAGAAACAAATATTGGTACTTTCTGACTTTCCTCCATGTTTAACCACGGCCAACTGGAAAACCTTCTTAATATCAGAAGGTCGCTGCTTAACTTGTTCCACTATCTGATGGATTTAGTTCCTCAGCATAGAAGTATGTGAAATACAAAAAGTAAGAAAAGGAATCCTGGGACTGGAAAACAAATTACAGGCACAAAGATCCCCCCTCCTCAATCCCTGCAATTTCTCACTTGCTTCTTGAATTGCTTCACCTTACAATAAATTAATCACCATTTTTGCACTTTTGTTCAGTATGTAAAATCCTGTGCTTACGAAACAATTCTTAAAAGAAGAAAAAGACCACTGCTTATCTTCAGGTGATGATAAGTTAAAAATAAAGTTTGCATTTTAGAAGGATAAAAATAATGAACAATACGAAAGAAAGAACGATATCGTGAAGAAACTACTGCTTATTTTCTACATGACCGAAAGTTAAAAATGGCCAGCATTTTAGATGGAAAAAAATCCGAAAGAACGATATCACGCGAAGAATGATATCACGCAGTTTAAAGTGAGAGTGAAAATCAGATATGTTACACGTTTTAAAAATATATGTATTAGAAAAGGCTGTTTCTTTTCCAATTTACTAAAATGGTACTTACTTAATTAAACTACTTAAATTGAAAATGGTAAACATTTAAAAACAGAAAAACATTGAATCGATGATTATCACGCGGAAAGTTTCATAACTGAAACGGTCTGAAAATCAAACAATTTGCATATTAAAAATTCCCTGATTAAATTTACCAATTCTGATAACTAATATTTCGATTTTAGAAACTGACCTAGGCTTTAACCCTTTGCGGCACAGTGTGTCCGGTCTGGACACACTTAAAAATTTCCTTCTGTACGCACAGAAAAATTGAATGAAAAGGATTTTATAGGTTACTATAGGTTACTCTGAACCTTCTTTATTTGTAGTAGATAGCAGCTCAACACAAACCAGTCCATATATTTTAGCCATGTTTAGTTTTTTAAGACCCTCATTTTTCAAAGAAATCTTCCAGATTTTTTTTAGGGTATAAAAGGAACTGTTTGAAAAGAAATTTCTCTGCTATTTTTTTGGCTGTATGCTAATATCCTTACTCTACATTAAATTTAAATTTTTGCCTTGAAATCTTGCCTAAAACCAAACGGTGAATCCCAGGTGTGCCTATACCGGGCTCACCGATTATCTAGGACAACTGAGAGTCTGTAGTCTTTGTTTCTCCGCAGCTCATCGGTGAGTTCATTCACAACAATGCTCATTTCAGAACTCTTCTTGAAGCTCTATTTAATCAGTGTGCCCAAAGTGGGCACATCCACAGAATTAAAACGATAAGTGCTATCTTCACAAAATTTTACTTGTGTACTCCTCTAGGCCTAAGTAAACTGCTTACTTTTTTTTTTTTTTTTTTAAATCAAAACTCTGATTTTAAAAGGTAGCGTGCCGGAAAGTGTTAACAAGGAAGTACCTCTGTATGTATATCTGGGGCCCACCGGCAGCAAAGAGGTAACGTTGTTGAACACTGGTGGCTCGACCTAGGTTTGTCTCTACGAAGGTATACCTCTCTATAAGTAGGTATACCTTCCAGTGTGCTTTGCCACAATCATATAACGACACATGTATATATTATAAACCAAACATGTATGTATGTATGTTCCTCCCACTGCGCGAAAATGTGGCAGCCACCATTAATATTTTAAACACACATACTAGTTCGTCTCCTGAACATTTGCTCCCTAAAGCCCAAATTTTTAATCCTTTTTATTATTATTATTATTATTATTATTTATTTATTTCGCACGAATTTAATGAATTTTTTATTGAAAAACTCAGTTATTTAAAAGGAATATGTTTCTTCTCGACAAAACTTGAGATATTTATGTTAAATTAAATGAGAAGACTCAAATATTTAAAAGAAATTTGTTGTCCCTGCTCAAAATAAAACACATTTATATTCTATTTAGCACAGTTATATTAAAGAATCGTAAGTTATAATAACTATAAAGTCTTTATTTAACAAGTTAGAGAGTTTGCTTAATTCAGATAGAACACAAGTAGAATACGAATCAAAGTTAATAATCTTTACAAACATTTAAATCGATGTGTTGGGAAAAAAAAAAAAAAAAGAACTTACAAGAGATTCATTTATAAGTTTTCACCTTCA